CCTCCCCCCCCCCCCCCCCCCCCTCTTTCTTTCTTTTTCTTCTTCTTCTTTTTTTATTTTTATTTTTGGTGAGAACAATCCCAATACTTAAACCTCTTAAACATTAGCCTGATTATTGTCTATATGAATAAGAATCATAAAATAAAACCTGGGACTATCTACAAAGTTATGTTAACAGAACAATCTAAAAAGTTCACTAACCAAAAACATAATCAGCTGATTAACAACAAATCTCACTAGTGAATTAACCAACAAAATTTTCAACTCCTTTTGATTTGGATCAGGTTTAATTGCTTAAAAGACTCTACAATCAAAGCAGAACAATTTAGAATCCATACTACCAAAAACAAATGTTAACAAGTTAGGTTGTTTAGAATATCAAAATCGATGATTATGTCAGGATGAATGAATCCAGTGAATAACAACAACAGCAACAAAAGTGGTTAAACAGGAAAAGGCTTACGACTGCTCTAAAGGTTTCTGATGAAAAGCAATTTGCTCACTAGAACCCACAACCTGGAAAGGGATTACAAAATTAGATAAGTGTATATAAGAAACCAAACAAATTTCAAGACTCTTTTACCTTTATGTCTTTTGTTTTTCTATTATCTTTGCTCTTCTTCCTATCCTTTAATTTCTCATGTGATTGTTTTGAGTCACCTCCTTTACTGATATTCTTCTTCTCAGCAAGTGCAAGTTCAGCCAAAAAGGCTTCCCTTGCAGCCTCAGACTTCTCTGCAGCATCTTTATCTACAAGCTCCTCTAGGTGCAGCTGCCAACACAAAGTCAAAAGGTGTAAGTGCCTGTAGAGAACTACTTGGCATAAGAAACACACATATAGGTGAAAACAACACCATCACAGACCCGAAGGAAAGACTTCACAAGAGGTAGAACAATCGAGCGATAATCCAAGGCAGAGGTAGGACCAAGTTTAAGCTCCAACTGCTGCATGTTGTTAACATTCTTCATTATCTTTGCATCGATCTTGTTAAGCTGCAAGCATAAAATTATAGTCAACATAAAAGAGATTCATTACATTTTTAATTTTCACATATTTGGAAATTAGGAAACAGAAGAGATCGAACCTCCACAGACAATTGTTCCTTCTGCCTCTGGATTGCTATTTCTATGCAAGTATCTCCTTGCTGCACGAAGTCATGCACCCTCCAAACATCTTCATCACCACATTCCAACTCACATAAACGTGAAGTCACGCCAGATACTGCCTCATCATATCCAAACTGAGAAACATTCAGAGTTTGTGCTTCCTTAAGAAGGTTGGAGAGGGCTTCCAGCTCAAACCTAGTGCTGTCAAACATCATTACCTCATTATCCCTCTCAAGAAGCTCTTCTTGTCGCTTCCTCAGAAGAGCTTCATAGCTCTGGTGCACAGCGGGCTTCTCATCCTGCTTTTCCCTTTTCTTAAATTCCTCAACACATAGGTTTTCAACAGTTTGTAGAGCCTCTTCATAGCTTAGGTGCTCGCATTTCTTTTCACACATTGACTGCACAGCCCCAAACTCCTTGTCAAGCATCCGTAGGATTTCCAATCCCTGATGGGATTTTTCCTCTCTCATGCGGGTCCAAGATATCAGCTCATCCCCACTTGATGGGCCAGCAAATAACCAGGAGATGACAGCATCTGTATCAGGCACTCCCTCGTCAATATCATTCTTCTTTCCATGGAACACAGGGCCATCTATAAGGAGACTTGAAGGTGGATCATAAGAAAGCCCAACCCCATTCAACAAGAAGTCACACCGATGGCTACCTGAATCAGCCCCATTTGCATCACATACAACAGTGCTAGCAGCAGAATCCTTATCACCAGAGGAATATCGATTTAACCCACAAGATTGTGACAACTCCTGCAAGAACTTGAGGACTTTCCGTAGCTGAGAAGCGCCCAAGAAGCAGATGCAAGCAGGTGACTGGATTTCATCCATGGCAAATTGTATCACCTTGTTAAGATGGCCAACTGAGAGACTCTTGTGTTTCACAAGCAACTGGAACATGCCCTGGATCCTCTCCAAGAGCTTGCTTCTTTCTGGATCATCAGCTACAGGCCATCTTCGAGGGTTATCGTCAACATCTAAGAAGGAGATGCAAGAGTCTGGCAAGTCAGCGCCCTTGCATTCCGTTGCAAAACCATTGCACCCATTGCCATTGCTATTGCTGATACTGCCATTGGACTCTCCCAATTGTGTCGAAAGAGATGACGAGGAATCTGAATTATCTTTAGAACTCCAATACTCTGATACACAATCCTTACCTTCCGAATCCTTATCAATAATAGCCCCCTCCACCAACTGGCATTGTTCATGAGTCTCTTCATCATGTCCAAGCATTTTCGCAGCAGAAAAAACATCAATAGGTTTCCAAATAGTGTCATTAAGGAGTAACTCAACCCACTCTCCTTCAACCTGTTGAGGCAAAACAGTCTGGAGTTTGGCTTGAAGACTACCCATATGCTCCTGCACCATGTGCTGCATATGCGAATCACTATCCCTAAACTTCTCATTGCAACGGCAACAAACCCAAAACTCCCAAGAACCCTCATTGCCTTCAACGAACCCAAAAGCCTCTGACAACACATCATAAGCAGCCATACCATCCTTTGAACAACTATAGTGAGCCCTAACATCTACCACATTCACCGCCATAAACCCTAACCTCTTCTCAACACTCAATGAGTTCCAATAAGCCTTAACCTGCTCCATCCTCTCACTCAGCTTCTTGGAGTTCATCAGCTTTCGCCTCTCTGCACTCCTCTGCTGTTGCGCACCCTGCGAAGTAGTCGACAGTGAATCCTCATTCGGCGATTCCGATTTGCGCTGCTGCAATATTCTTGCAGCAGCGACACGGACCTCAATCTCCTTCCTTCGATCCTCCTCTGTCTTCGTAGCTTTCTTGATCTCATTTGGGCGCCGAGGAGCCTGCACCAGCCTCACCTCCATCGGATCCTCATTTGATGACGACAATCTCCTCATTGGAATCAACCTGAACTTCTCCTCTCCACCACTATTGCCTCCATTTCCAAGATTCTTCATCCAATTCGAAATCGAAGCGATGTTTGACTTCTGGATAAGCGCTCTAAGCTCCTGATGAACATGAGCAATCCTTGCCTCGGGAGTTGAACTCTTCTGCTGGGCATCATCCTGCAAACTCTCTTTCCCGGGATCAATCGGGTCCGGAATCGACAGAGCTCGCTCACACTCCTGTACCACCTCCTCGTACCCTCGGCCATTAGGGTCAGCAGCCGCAGCCTCATACATTAAATTAGCATAAAAATGCGCAAACTCGACCGAATTAGGGGAGAGCGACACTGCTCGCCTCGCAGACTCAATAGCAGACCGCAAGTGCCGAAGCTTAGCATTAGGGTCATCAAGCAACGACGCGATCTTCACCGAAATCGTGCCGTGAACCCGATGAAGTAGCGGCGACGAATCCTGATGCCGAGCGCAGGCCTCCTTCATCAATCTAAGGGCTTTGGTGTGATTGCCGCGGCGGAGGGCAGTTAGGGCTTTGTCGCACTCGGACTTCACGGCGTCGGTCGTCGGT